ATTATCTTCTTGATCTCGTTGGGCTAAATCAATCACCATAGTCTGGCTCGAGGCGGAGATTGACAAACTGCTTGGAGTTAAGTCCTGGGAATTGTTGTCGTCCCCGGTGAGCTTGTTGACACACGCACGACTGCAGAATCTGTGCATGTTTGAGTTAGTTGGAGTGTAGATAGTGAGCTCAGCGTGTGATTATAAATAGTATACCTCTTCGACAAATCGGTGACATTCCTCAAATCGTTACTGCAAATATGGTGCACTTGCTTCCCGCAAACACAGCAAGGAGCCGTTGTTTTCAGCTCCGGATGGCTGCAGTCGATCCTAGCACACTTCATTGCTGTTGCAAGACGACAAATGAGGTGAAGAGGGGGAGGGAGAACACAGGAGAAAGCGGGAGCACCACCCATTGCGCGCGTCCTTTCAGGCTCAAATCTTGTCTGGAAATTAGTAGTGAATCTAGTACTAATATCCAGTGCTCTCGGACTACTAAGTTCTTATCTCTACTAAGTCCGCAACCTGGTTTGGTTATGCTTAGCACTACTAATAGTAGTGGTACTATTATTATTTGTTAGTACTAATTTGGGACTACTACCGATCCCTGATCATCGCATTACATCTTGTAAACTAAATTTTTTTTAAAAATGTATATTGTATATAAGAGTGTTAAACAACTGTTTAAAATAGAAATTGTTGTGCTGTTTGAGCTACAAGATACTGTAAAGGAGCGATTTTGGCATTGAGACCTTCGTCGCCTGCCATACGGTCATATTTGCGATATATATAGTAAAACCTCTCCTACATGATCGCACCCGTGGACAAGGTGCCCATCAGATATACGAAGCGCATCAGATAGGAAAGGACATCAAGGCTTATGACCAAAATAGGAAAGCTATCTGACAGTATAATTAGCTCCAAAACCGCTTCATGGGCGATGCTTTCTTTCACTAGTTTCGTTTTGTCGTTTGCGATGCTACGCAAAAAACAGCATGTCGGCAACCTCACCTACGAGCAGAAGAAGAGGATATGTACCTGGAAGAGAGACACGACGTCGTTGACACAAGGACAGCTCGCTGCAAGAGCAAAACGAGAATTGGCCAAGAATAAAGCGCCTGCCCAGGGAATCATATCAGCCATTTTTGCGCGAAAGGACGTGTATTTGTACGCCAAGGAAGAAGACTTGCAAGCATGACGATCGCGCCATGTCGCTATTCCTGAGCTGGATACTGCACTTGCCAACTGGGTGCTACACTGCCAGGCCAGCCGCATCATGATTGACGGTAATTTAGTGAAGGCTAAGGCCCTACGTCTGCAGAACAAAATGGGTTTGTGCGAGAAAGACAAACGAGCATTTCCAAATGGCTGGTTTGCCTCATTTCAATCGTCATGGCTTCGAG